CTTGACTGCGTGTGCGACACCGCTGCTCTGTCACAAGGAGGAGGGGAGGGAGGAGCGGGCTGCTCCTCCAGCTCTGTGTGTGAAAAGGGAGGGGGGAGCGGGCTGTTTACTGCTGCAGCTCTGTGGGAGCGTCAGTGAACTAACAGAAGTTCATCATCAGTTTTGATCGGAATTTTTTTTCGTCCTATCATCCTCGTACTAACTGCGCCCATCGGACTGGCCCATTAATGGTCCGGCCCAGCGGGATTCGTCCCGATTGTCCCGATTACCCACTCCGCCCTTGGACTTAGGTAGGAACGGAACCTTTCTAATGCTGCTCCTGTGATCCCAACCCCGTGTTTTAAATGTGATAACAGGATACTTTGGTCAACAGTATCAAAAGCTGCAGTCAGGTCCAGAAGTACCAGGACCACAAATTAACCAGATTGTTACCTAAAAACAATCCCAAAATAATTGTTAATAAAGTTTAAATATATATTAAGTGGAGCATCATGGTGAAAGCCATTATGCTGTGATTGTGAAAGTAAAACAGTTGGGCCTCATCTTGGCACTCAGACTGTAGCTGCATTTCCATTGCAAATGTGCGCAAAACTTTGCGATATTCTGTTAATGTCGAAAAACACAGTTTCGCAACTGCGGTGTTTCCATTAAGTAAGAAATGCTATTAAAGTCACGCGTGAATACATTTGTTCTTGCGATAAGTCATTACAAACATGGCGGCGATGGATGTAAACACATAGCATGTTGCTACCACGACACTAGCGCTCATCATCAGAGGAGACGTCGGCGTCTTTTATCGAGGCTTTCCAGAGACAAGTCCCTACTTGGGAGCGGCTACGAATGCTGTGTTTTTGGGAAACTGTAGTCAGTGAGTTTACTACTTTATTTTACTACTTCTGTGATATTACTACTACTTATACTTCCTGTTGTCTTCTTTGTCGTCATCTTTTTCGGCAGTAGAAACATCCGTTTGTTGATCACGTGACTCCCATGATGCGAAAAAAAGTTTTTCCATTGCAGTTTTGCGAAATACACCAATTTCAATACGGCCGGAAAAAAACACCTCATCCTAGCGCAAAAACATTTTGTCGAAAAACATATGTTGTTTTCCTAAATTGACGTGTTTCCATTGAGCAAATTTATTTTCAAAATACTAATTTGCGCATTTTCATGGTCAATGGTAACGCAGCTATTAATCTGGAGTTTCACACTGCTGGACAGGAGATGGCAAAGAAAAAAAAGAAAGGAAAACTAGTTGGTACACTGGTTGGAGTCAATTTCAATTTAGTGAAATTAATTTTCAAACCAATTCATTAAATTTCAAATTATGAACATACAGATTGAATCTGAGTGATTCCAGTTTCTGCTCAGACAAGCAGTTCCTGAAATGAAAGCTGTGTGTTTGACGGTATTGGAAAGGATTGATCTGAACTTGTAACTCAGATTGCTTTAAAAGAGTTCAGAGTGCAGAGAGTAAGAGATTGTTCATCACTATGTTGACAGCAGGTTTGTAAGAGTGGAACAATGAAGCAGGAGCTCATTAGCAGCATGATGAACACATTCATTCATTGATGTGTTGTAAAGCAGGAATGAAGGTTCTGGTTTCTGACCACAGCTGACTTACCATGGTGTATTTACCAAGCTGGCAGAGGGAGGGGAAGGTTTCTTGATGGGCCTTTCGAATCTTCTCAATGATGGTCTCCTGTTCGGTCGTCAGCTCATAACCTTCAGCCACTTCCAGCTTTGGGCTTTCCTTCTTCCTCTTATTTCGGTCGTTTCGAACAGCTGGGGAAAGCAGAGAATGTTTCAGATTACTGCAGCTGAAGACGTCAGAGAAAGAGAAAACCCAAAGACAGCTGAAATGTGTGGGCCATGGTGGACTAAACTTAGCTGAGGTCTGAACATGAATCAAAAAACGACGGAGAACATCTAACCTGCTGAAATCTAATTTCCCTAAAGGAAACTTGTCTCTTTTATTGAGCAGGAAAGTTGAAACACAGTTTGATCAAAGAAATTTTCAATGTTAATCTATTTATTTCTGTTCCCTGCCTTTCTGTTCAAGGTCCTTGTGAAGCTGCTGTGTTAATGCCTTTATTTATTTTTAACTTGTTTAAATTTTAATAAACTTGCAGAAAGAGAGACAACAAAACCAAGAAGCCACAGCAACAAACAACATATACATATAATAAATATTATAATCTCACTGAAAAGTACGATACAAGTTTATACAAATATACAGCGGGTAAAATAAGTATTGAACACGTCAACATTTTTCTCAGTAAATATATTACTAGAGGTGCTAATGACATGAAATTTTCACCAGATGTTGGTAACAACCCAAGTGATCCATACATACAAAGAAATCAAATATTGAACACATGAAGAAAGGGAGGTGTAAAAAGGCATGGAAAGCCAAGACACCAGCTGAACTCTCTCAGTAA